CCACTTTGTTCGAGTCTTCTTCTTTATCCTGTTTTTTATTTCTGAAGAAGCAATTCTTTTCTAAATGATTAGTCTTCTTACAAATATTACACTTTTTCTCGCTCATGACATCTTCTTTACAGTTTTTATTTAGCAATATGACCTATTTTGTTACACTTAAAACAACGTACCTGTTTTTTTTCTTTATTCGATGCCTTTGCTCTGCAAAACTTTGCCAGATGACCTGCTTTATTGAAGATATTACACCTTTTATACGAAGTTTTAAAAGCTATTGCTTCCTCTTGTTCCTTTGGATGATGTCTTTGTTCTTCCTCTATCAGTCTAGCTGTCAAGTTGTCTAACGTTTTCCTTTGCAACTTCGTCAATTCCCATGCACTAATAAAATACGAGTACTCCTTTGGGAGGGTAGCCAACAATTTCGAAATCAACATTTTATCATCAATTTTAGTATCAATTGCATTTAACCTGTAAGCTAAATTCTTTATTTTGCTGATATACGATGACATATCTGTATCTTTTTCATATGAAATACTGTAAAATTCTTGTAAAAGTTTGCATCTTTGTTGCTCTGTATCTCTCTCATAAATATTGCTAAATTTCTTCCACATCTCATAAGTTGTTTCGCAGTCCATAATGTGCAAAAATGGCTTTTTATCTAAAGTTGATATTATTATTTTTTGTGCTATCGCGTCTTTCTTTTTCCATGCATCATTTCTGTTATCTACTTCTGTATTTTCTGTAGCTAACTGCAAAACCTCATTGGCACGAAACAATACTTTTATCTGAAACTTCCATATCTGGTATAATTTTCAACCCCCATTAATCTCTCGATATTATAATAATCTTCTGTAACCTTTGCCATTTTTACACACTATTTCACAGAATTTTTATATGATTTTAATATTATTATACAGAGAGAGAGTTTCTTCGTTTTAAGACTATCGTAACCTTATACTTTTACTTTAACTAACAAAATCTTAACGATTTTCAGCTTATCTATGTATTTTCCTTTTTTTAAACGTTTTATTTTATTTTATATTTCAGTTAAATTTCATTTCTTTAAATCTTTTAAGTTAGTGAAGGTTAAAATATTCTT